TTTTATAATATTATTTTTAATAAGTTTTTAAAGCTTAGCCCTTTAGAGCTCTTTTTATTTTCTTTTTTATAAAAAGGGAATATTTAACGCGGTTATTTTAATAATAAATATAGCCTCTTTTTACTATCTTTTTATAACTAGTTATTACCCTTTTACTAATTTAATAATTATAATTTATTAGTTTCGTAAGTTATATTACGTACTTTTTTAATTAAAACTTTATAATAAATTAGGTCGTTTTATAACTAAAATAGTAATTTAAAAAAGAACTAATATACTTCTATTTTTAAGTTTTTTATATTTTTTATACTTAGGTTATAATAAATTATTAACTATTTAGTAAGGAACTAAGTAGGGGTCTAACCCTTTTTTAGCCTCTTTATTCTTAGCTCTTTATAATATTCCTATTTTTATATTTTAGGGTCTATATATTATTAATAAACGAACGCTAAGAAGTTACCCTAAGAAAGGGGATTTTAAAAGCTCTTTTTATAATTATATTATTATATTTATAATAATAGGGATATTTTAAATAGGGCTTATTTAATATACTATTTGATAATACTTTTTATATAAAGATTATTACTTATTTTTATAATAATAATTTAGTTTATTACTTAGGTACTTATAAACTCTTTTTTAATTAGTTTATAGTTATAAAAAAAAGGTTTTTTATATTCTTATTAACCTAGACGTATTACTAATTACTTAATAAGCTATTAAATAAGTTCCTCGTATTAACGCTATTTTTAGTTTTAGTTTTTAACTATTATCTCTATTATTTTATAAAAATAAGTTATTATTAAGCTTATAAAGTTTACTAAACTAGCTATTTTAGTACTACTTATACCTTTATATATACTTAAATTTTATATATTTAGTAATTAGTTATTAATAAACGCCCCGTTTATAATAAATAGAGTCCTCGGGGTATTAACGAGGTAACTAACCTATAAAAATAATCTACTCTAATTATTTTTTTTATTTAGCTTTTTTATAAACGCTAGTATTTAAATAGGATTTACCCTATAATAAGCTCGTTTTTTTTTAAATAAAATAGAGTTAAATAGTTAATTCTAAATAGCTATAGCTCGTTAATACTAACGGCTCTTTATTAATAACTAAGTATTATTTTATTAACGTTCCGTTTATTTTTATAATTTATTATTATTTATACTAATTATTCTATAAAAATAAAAACTTTAAAATTATAAAAAATTAAGTTATAAGTACTTAACTAGCGAGGCTATAATATAAATATAAGTATATTATAAGATTAAAACTTATAAAGTCCTTTATATAAGCTCTACTTTTTAAAAAGTTTTTTTATAATACGATCTGTATATTAGTTATTAAGTTATCGGCGTCCTATTATTAGTTATATTCTGAATCTATTATATAATTAAACTCTATTATTAACTAATTAACTATACCTAATTAATTAAAACTTAGTAAATAAAAACGTAATATTTATAAATATAAATAGTATTAATAAACGTATTATATAAAATACCTAAATAATAGTATATTTTATAAACCTCGGAATTAAAAAGAACTAAATAATAGACCCCTTATAAATAATAATTTAAATAAGGTATTATTTCTATACCTTTATTAAAAAAACGAATAATACGTAATAATTTATAACGAGACGTAGCTATTAAGAATTTCGATTTTTTAATTTAACTTAATATCGTATTAGTATATTTTAAAAAAAAAAATACTTAACGATTCCCTAACCTAGGAATAAATAACTTATTTATAAGCTTAGAGAACTAAACTTTTAAAAAAAAGAGCTAATATTACGACTTAATACGTATAATAAAACTAGGGTCCCGCCCTACGGGACCTATAGTAACTATTATATTATATATATAAAAGTACGGATTTAAAATAACTTTTCTTAAGATAAAAAAATTATAAATAAATTACGTAACTACGATTATATAATAAAATAAAAAACGGACGCCCGTAAATAAATAAAACGGACGATTATAAATAAATAAAATAAACGACTATTTAATAAATAGTTAAATAATAATAAATAAAAATATTATAAAGGATATATTTATAAACGAGATTTATATATAATATAAACTTAAGCTAAGCTTAAAAATAGACTTTTTATAGCTTTTTTAATAATTAACTTAGTATTAGATCTTATAATTACTTTTAGCTATTTTTATTAAAAACCTTTTTTAATAAGATTATAATTAATTATTAAAGCCTTACTTATTTTATAACTTATAAACATAGCTTTAAAGAAACTATTTATAATTACGATATTATTTATTTACTACTCGTAGCCTTAACTTTTATTAATATACTTATTATAACTAGTTAGCCGTAATATATAGACTTTATAATACTTTTATAACGGGCCCTTATTAAAAAGAGCTCGAATATTATAAAAGAGCTAGAGCTAATTATACCTTTAGTAACTAAGTATTATAGGCTAGCTCTTATTCTTATTAAAAACCGGAAATATATATTATAAAATAGCTTAGTTAAGCACTACTATTATTATTATACTTACTAAACTAAAATCGACTTTTTAATATTTATAAAATATTACTATATAAAAAAGCTTAATAAAAAAGTAATTAACTTACTAAGGCTATATTAAAATAAAACCGAGCTCTTAAGAATTTATAAACGTTTTATATATTAAGAAGCCGTAAATTAGTTTAAAATCCCTTAAAAGATAGTTATTACTTAGTATTAAAACCGCAATTCTATTATTAATTAATCCTCTAATTATACTTACTACTTATAATAGCCTAAGCTCGAAATAGCTCTTTATACCTCTTTTTATTAATAATATAATAAAAAAAAGCTTATTATTATTAATTAGTTTAAAAAAAACGCTAAACGGATTTTTACTTAATAAAATCTAAATAATAAATATATATATATATATTTCTTTTTAGTTAGTTCCGTAGCTTTTAAAATTATATAAGGATTACTTAATGTTAACTTACTAAGTAAGTATTAAAACTATTTATAAAATATTATAAAATTATTAATAGCTTCTTTTTTTTTATTTAATAAGTTAACTAAATAAGCCTAGTTAAAATAAAGCGGTTAAACCTCAGAGATTTATTTAAAAATCTAACCTATTAATTTCTTAACTCGTAGATTCTTAACTTTAATAAGACCCTAGTTCTATTTAAGTACTTCGACGGCTATATATATAATAATATTAAGGCTAAAACCGTAGTTAATAAAAGTAATTATAACGGCTAGAGTAAGTAGTAAGCTATACTTATACTCTATATATTTATTAATAATATATAGTAAATTAAATTAAAGATTATTTTTTATAATAAGTTTATAAAAAAAAAGGTTAATTATAAAAAAAAGAGGGCTAATTATATACTAAAGGAATAATAATTAAGTATAATAAAACTACTTATAATAATAAGTACTTATTTAAATAATAAATTAAAAAGGAATTAATAACGCTAACTAAGGGTAACGAGTACTTTTTAATTATAAACGTTATTACTTTTTATAAAATAGATTTTATCTTTATATAATTACGTTAATATAATATTACGCCCTATTTTATTTTATTAAGGACTACTTCCCTTTTTTAACTTCTTAATACTATAATTAATAAGCCCTTTAAATAGTAGTTTTAAAAATAACTAACGCTTATATACTTAATAAAAAAAAAAAGTAGTTAGTTAGTAAAAAGAACTTAAGTAAGAGATTAATATAAAAAAGATAATAATTACTTAAATAGTTATTATAGTAGCTATATAATTAGTTAATAAGAAGGGCTTAATAATTAACTAGGCCTTTTTATAATATAGAATATTTATTTAGCTTAATAATAGCTAAGTTAATAAGATCCGGATTAAAAACGTATTAACTAAGGCTATTAATTATACTAAATAAAAATTATATAATATAAAAGCTTATATTAAATAAAAAATACTATAAAAAGAGATTTTAAATTATACTATTTAAAATAACGGGCTAGAATATATTTTTATAATAAAGGACGTCCGTAATAATATTAATAAGTAGTATATTAACTTAATAGTCTAACTACTTAGTAATTAGGCTATTAAAAACTAGGGGCTACTTATATACGTCTTCTAATTAACCTTTTTACTTATTTTTACTAATTTAATATAAAAAGCCTAAATCCGTTAAGTTTATTAAAATAATTATTAAATTAGATTAATTATAAGTTTAGCTTTAATAATAAGCTCTTATTAACCTAATTACTTAAGATATTAGCTTATGCTAAAATTACGTAGCGGCCGTATTTATTTAAATTAGGTAGTATTACGGTTCTATTAAACTGCTAGTAAGGTTAGTACGGGCTAACGCAAGTTCGAACGGCGTGAGTTTTTACGGTAGGTGTACTTAACACTGTTTATGCCGAGTCGAAGTCAAATCAATCGAGGCGCGCCCGCTACTTCTTAAAAGCAGGAGTGCATCTGACATCCAACTGGTGTCTGCCCTACCTAGTTCTGAGGGATAGAACCATGTCTGGACTCGCAGGGCTGCCGCTACCCGGCATTCGGGCCACTCGGCAATGCCATCTGGCAAGGCATGTTATCCCTTGATGAGCAATGCACCTGGGCGTCGCACCTTTGGATTCCTTAACCACCCCTTCATACCGCCCTTCTTTACCGCCCTTCACAACACCCTCTTGCCAAGCGTTTATTGGCGGTCTACTTTTGTGCCTGCAACCACGGCGAACTGTGAAGCATGTACTGGGGGCTTGGCCTAGCCCATATCGACTGCCAACCATGGGGCAGCAGTCAAGGGGCTTGGCATCTGGCCTGAGCTATTCCACGGCTGGTAAATCGTACAAAGGTTTGATTGCGTGATGCTCTGCCGTGAGATAGATAAAGATGGAGACGTCGTACACACGAGGCTACGTCGCTCACGTTTTGATGTCCAAGCCGTGAGATTGAACCACTGATCCGCTGATTCCCCAGGAGCTCGGGAAAACAAACGCCCATCTTTTCCCACCCTCCATGGCTGCACAAGTCTCCTCAACGGGGGACTGCTACCTCGAGACCACCACCAGCATCTTACTCGGTATCGTCATAGGCTTGACGATGCTCAATTTTGGAAAGGTGTTGAAACAGACTTCGCACATTTACTCAAAAACCAAGTCGTTTACCAATCTTTACAGCTGGATGTCAGTCAAGCCTTCCTGCGTATGAGCAGCATCACTAAATCTCCAGAAAATAACACTCAATAGGATCTGGATTTTACTTCTTGCTAGCCCCACTCAAGCGATTATCGACTGGCTCTTCATTGTTGGACACATTCTAAAAAGGTCGGTAATGTACGCCTAAACTCCTGTAACCTACTTTTTAATCGTTTGTTAACGAAAACAGCCCCGGGTTTAGCGCTGCGGATATCTTGCTCTGGGTGTTTCAAACGCAGCTTACACCTCAAATCATTGCGAACCGACTAGGACTTATCATGACAGATAAGAAGAAAGTTAGGATCATGAAATGCGTATTGCTTGTGATTATTGGCATAATGAACGCTACTGTCATCTGCATGATATTTCTGATACAAGCGACCTACCCTACGCTGGGTCCACATATCCAAAAATTCTACGCCCCTATCGACAAGGCCTTTGGTCTGCTAACTGATCTCTTACTCAACTTGGCGTTCATATGGAAGGTCCATCATGAACTGATCGCCAACGGTCTGACAAAATATCGATTGTTGTTCAATCTCAACATCGCTGCTATAATACTTTCGCTGTCTATGGATGTAGGTCGCAGCGTATTTCCTTCATTCAAGTCGTTTCCGAGAACTGCCTTAAGAGCATCGCTGATTCGTCGTACAAAGATCGCCCTGCTTGTCGTTGTGCTTGTTCTACCGAATTCCTTTATTTACACTTGTATCCACCCGATAGTCTATAGTGTCAAACTTGCCATTGAACTGATGATGGCAGATCTGATAGTCCAGGTCACGCAAGAGCAATATCAAATGCCGGAAATTTAGAGGCCGCTAATTTTGTGAGGTAGCGCGTCACATCGTCGATTTTATTGATAGCCCTCGTTCTACAGCTTTCCCTGGTTACCTCATCGCACTCACTGATCCTAACAATCTTGTTCGGCATTGCAGTCTTGGCGGATTCATTACGTTATGTGACTCACGATTCTGTGGAAAGTAGTTCTTGTCGACTGACGAGAAAAGATCATTAGTCTATATGATCTTGATGATTGATCTGATATCATTTCATTCGATTTCATTTTATCTGATCTGAAACATATTAAAGCCTACTCGGTTTCAGCCAAAGAGGGCACGACGTTGCCCGGGCGGATGAGTCAGCCAGCGACACTTGGAGCTGGGCAATCTGTATCATCACTGACTTCTCACCGCCACACAACCAGACAAGATAAGCCTCAAAGGATCTAAAGCTCCTCTTCCATTATGTTCAGACCCTTGCTAAGAAGCTACGTTGGCCTGATCCTGAGGTAACAGTGAATGAGCTAGGGCTGGCCTGCTGGGTACCTTAATTGTGTCAAACTTAAGTCGAGCATTCATCAAAGTCTAAATCACGATCAGGAGTCTTGACCTCCCCACCATCCTTTACTTGAGTTGAACTTCATTTCTCCAATCTTCTTCAAACTTCCGCAACTCATCTCTCTACCCTTGAAAGGGGCAGTCGACGGTAGCGTAAAACTAGTGTGATCGGTGAGCAGGGCCCCTAGAATAATCTCAAACGCAAGGGTCGGAAGCGTTGGGAAACAGGCATTACGAGCGGGTCTCGAGGTAACCTCCACAACATCGTCCGATCGGACCATCGACCGTCACTAACTAGCAGAGTCCTAGCCGGAGAATACGCGGTCCCCCATGATGCATACGTCCGGAGTCAGGGCGTCTTGAATTCGAAGACGCATCGCAACCAACTTGCATCTTGATGCCAGTAGAAAGTCTCACGTTCAGAAGGGCCTGATTGTGCCGCGAGAACGTATCGTGGCACGCGGAATGCAGTCTGTTCATCTCTTGTCCTCCGTGTAGACTGAAAATGGACTTTGTCCGCAAGCGCGTACCGACCTTGGAAATACGTTGGTTTCCCTCAAAGGTGGACCGATCTGCCTCCAGCGCCTGCCCAAAGTAGAGACTCAGATCCAGTTCAATCTTTTCTTTCCTGGGACTATGCCAGTACTCTCAGCTCTGGAACTTCTCTACTAGATTATCATGCGTCTCTTCGCGACCGTCGCTCCGGCCATTCTTGATCTGGCGGGCGATCATATCATCGCTGGTGCCCCATCGAATCAGATTAGCCTGGGGTGCTATCGGAGCCCTCTGGTCCGATAACTATCACTGGAATAGAGATCCAGCTGCATTGATGCTATCAAATGCTTGACGTCCCTGCCGTCAGAGGGCAATTATCTGTAGCATGGTGCCAAGACCCGGTGGGATCACTTCCAGAGAATGCACATCTACCTATGCCCCAGAGCAGCTGCACTTCAATGTGAGTCAGCCCAATCCGCGTGGCAAATCAGCAGGTAGTTTCAGTATACTGATGTTGGTACAGGGTTCTTTCCTCCCGTAAGAGATAACTCCAAACTTACTTCGATCATTTTCTAAATATGTCAATCGCAGCTGGCATCGGTAGATGATGTTTCTCTTCGAATCTGAGCTGAGGAACAAATGCTCTTACCAAGGAACACTACCCTACTGGGACTTGAGTCTTGAAAATACTGCGGAAAGCTTCGTCAAGTCGCCAATCTTCGACAACATATACGGTTTCGGGGGTAACGGGCCGTATATCGAGGATATCAGTGATGACGAGGAGTTCCCAGTCAAGACCCCCGCGGAAATTCCGGGAAGGAGCGGAGGAGGATGCGTCCAGGAGGGTCCATTTGCAAATCCCACGGTTCCCATAGGTCTTGGTGCGTTGTGAATTTCCGCAAACCACAAGGCTTCTGCCCCTGCCCGGCATCTGCTGACTTCACATCCTGGCAATAGGGTCCTCCGTTGAATCGTACCCCCATTGCCTGCGTCAAGATTTCAGTCCCACCCTCGTTGCCAGTGCCCTGAGAGACGAAATCATTGACCGTGCGCTCTCTGCGCCGACCTATGGCGAATTCAACTCTCATATTCAGGGCTACAGTTTCGAGTTTGACGGCCTGACTCTCCACGCGGGCATACATCTTGGCATTGGCGGTGCTGTTGGCAAGGTACGTCTGATCAGACGATGATCCTTTCCCATTTTACGGCCCTTTTTGGTTCTTTACTTTGTTAGTTGTGAAGTTGTGTGGTCTGAGGAAGCTAATGGCCAGGACCAGAATGCGGACATGTACTCCTCCCCCGGCGATCCACTCTTCTACTTCGTCCACGGTGCACTGGACAAGATCTGGAACGACTGGCAGCGACGAGGTAAGCATCCTTTTCTGCTCACGAACTTGACTTTCGTTTCAGTGCCACTTGTGAACAGACCAAGGCACTTGGACAAGCGGCTAGGCGCCCCGTTTTCCCCAGCATAAGAAAACGTTAAAAGGAGTCGTAGGCTCGATCTTGCTAACGATGGTCATAGACTGGCCCGCGCGCAAAACCGCTATCGGTGGCCCGGACACCATGTTCGCGTACCCATTCAACTTCTTCGGTGACGTACCGTACGAGAACAACACGTTGCAGTACCTTCTCAAGTACCCTAATTTTGGACAGGTATCCCCATTAGCGACGTGATGGATATCCACGGTGGTCCGTTTTGCTACGAGTATAACTTGTTTGAGCTATCAACTATACCATCTCAGTCTAGTGTGTTACAGCGGCTTCTGCACTCTAGTCGCAGCATCCGATTATACGAATCCGTCGTACAGCGACCAATAGCCGCCCAAGACTGATGAGCTACATCGGCCGCTGTCCTAGTGTGTCGAATCTTGGTTGAGCCGCCGCTGGTCTGGGAGGAGAATCCGTGCACAAGTTGAGGCGCGGGCTATTGCGGTTTAGGGTCTGGCAGACAAAAGACAAAGACAGCCACGGTGGTCGATGTGCTCGGATAAAGTTCCACTACTGAATCAACATCGGAGGCATCCCCATTTGTCCTAGCTTGCGATTGCAAGTCGCTTAAGACGGCAATATTGCGGCGATGTTGTCTGGAGAGTTCCCGAGAGTCAATTGAATCCCATACCACTGCTAGATTATGTGTGGGTGAGGGGATGGGGCACTCATTATCACACTCCAATGTAAGCTTAAGTTGCATTACGCACTTCATAGATAACATGTGCTTAGAGAATGCTCAATCCGATGTAGATACATCGCCAAGTAATTCATGAAGGTGAAATGGAACTTTTATTAATCATGGTCTCAATCGACTGCGTGATGGGGACGGGACGAGACGATCATGTGACTCCTGGTCGTCCGCTATCCTCTTGAACCCTTCGGAAAATAGCGACATTTCGCTCGGCTTTGTGTGAAGTCCCCTTGATTCGACCTCAACTTTTGTTGACCTCAACGGGGACTCATTGATACACCATCTCTCATTTACCTCGACTCCTCCATACGTCTTGCTCGGTTTTTGTGGTGATGGAAAGTCGCATAGCTCAGCGGTGGCCTCTTCGTCACGGAGACTGCTGAGACGGCGTATCTCCGATGTAATCTCGATCTCTTTTGTGATAAAGATGTGGCCGATGCTACTCTGTAGGGTGGGCCAGAAGACGGGTAACGAGGCGCAAATCGTCGCCAAGTTGATCTCAACCGCAGCGAGAACGATGGGCACGCAGCCGTACCAGCTGGGATCGAGGGTCGGATAAGTGCCCGCTCTCGAGTGTGAAATGCCGATGAGACGGAAGATTCCAAGAACGTTCACGCTAGCGAAATCGAGTCAGACGGGAAGTGTTCGCTTTGAGATGGAAAGGAAGTTTAAGACATGGAACTTACAGAACACCCATGGTGAACAGACCAAGCAGGCCCAAGCGCGACTTCGTCCGAGTTCCAGCCTCCAGGAACAAGGGAATAGGTATCGCAAATACAATCAGGTCCAGTGCAACATTCATTCCGACGTGGCTTTCAAAGCTTTTCGCAAAGATAATGGGGTCGCGGGAGCCAAATGCCCATCGAGTATCCGTAGTCGATGAAAGGTCCCAAAAGGCCGACACGGGAAGGCAGGGGATCCAGGCAATGAAGGAGTAAGCTACACCCCATAGTGCGGTGATGTAAATGACGATAATGGTAACGATTCGAGACTTCGTGTTGCGTTCAAACATTCGTAGATATTGAAACAGTAAGGCCAATTTGATGAGGGCTGTTGCCATTGGGTATGCGCCGTTGCAGACATAAAAGGCTTTGATGAAATTTTGCATGCCGTTAACTCCAAGTAATAGAAAGTGCTTGCCCAGCCCATAATCCGTGGCTGCATTGAAGAGTTAGAGGACCTTTCTTTCGTAGGTAGGCGCCATAGAATGAAGACACTTACCCACACACGTTGCTATAGATAAAAGCAGGCTTGTGAGCTGCGGGCAAAATGTTAGACATTGAAAATAATGCGAAACGGTTGCCTGATAGCTACATACCAAAGATAGCACAACGAAGAAGTCATCCCATCCCGGACACCGAGCAATAAATAACCGGACATAGAGTCGAAAGGCACCGCATATCCAGGCGACAAGCTACGGTAAATGGTCAGAAGCTAGAATTGTCTGGATGTGGTTCATGGGCATCAAGTACCAGAAAGGAAACGACCATAGCCAGGACCGCAGGTCGTTGGTTGAGAACCGGCACAGGGTCTTTGAGGTTGTCGGCTTTGCCGAGTAATTCAAGTATGGAGCCGCCCATTTTCTACAAGGGTTCTCGAGATCGGGGCCGTTGCCGTTTGCATACTCGGGGGTGAGACTTCGAATTCCGTAGGTCGAAGTCCAGCTCGCGGGTAGATTTCGAATCGCAGTTCTCAGCCGTTGGCCAGCAAGAGTCGGCGGATGGTCAAATAAGACAACTCATTCGGGATTAAATGGAGACAACCTAGAGGGGTTGGAAAGGTTGGACAAGAGCGA